ACACATTGGCTGCAGCCATTATTGGATTGGAAGGCTCTGTCAGTCATGCTTTGATCACCCCTAGGACATAATGTAAGAGTAAGATAGAGCTGCCTTTGAAAGCTGGAAGCTATAGTCACTACAAAATGTGGCACTTGAAACAGTGATGAATGTGGGCTCTTCAACTTCCTCTCTGCTTTGGGAATTCCATTCATTGCCTCCAAGAATGATTCAAGATGCTGGTTGTCACCTGTATAAAGAGGTGTTTTTGTTTGCTTGTTTTGTTTTTACTATGAATGTGCTTTCCGCATTTTGATTTAGGTGTTTGTTTTAAAAAACTGTTCAGTGCCTTCTCTGGCTCGAGAAAGGGCAGCATACAAGTATAAATAAATAAATAGATCTTTTTAAAATGATTGACCCCAACCACTCAGTCATGTCTACAATCTCTTGCTGCCTTGGTCACAAGGAAAAAAGCAGCATTGAGCTGTAAACTCTGCCCCTTTGGGAATGTGGCTGACATTGTGATATACTGTATATCAGAGAGGGGGAAAGCCTTGTACCAACTTATGTGATTCCATCAGTATTCACTCTAATACTCCCCCCCTCGCCGTCCCACTTGCCACCCCCTGAAAATGCTGCTGCCTCCATTACTAAACCAACATCCTCTCTTTTCCTTTCTGAACTTGTCCCCAGTTGGCCTGTGCAGATGGCCAGTGCTGACCCAAAGCAATTAATTCTAATTAAACACAGACTTAAAACTATGTTATTTGTTTTTATTGCAACTTCAAGACTTCATTAACTTCAGTCAAAGAGGACTGGTTTCTCTCTTTCTTCTCTCCTTCCCAAAAATTATGCTTTGAAACACATCTGTGAACATCTGATGCTCTTTGACAGTAATGGCCAATGTTATTACCCCCCTCTAACTCTCATGATATCCTTCTGCTTTGGGCTTTTTGTTTTGCAGCTGCAGAACTTAAACATCTCAACAACCCTTATGTGAAAAACAAACTTGAGTGCACCGGGTGTTTGGGAATCAATTCAGAATTTATATGTAAATAGAGTAACTTCCTGTGGAATTAAATGTGCTTTGTACTGACACAATACTGGCAATATCAAGGCAAATGTAAATTAATGTTAGTTAGAATGTGTTCAGTATATCTTCAAGTAGACTCAAATAAAGTGGAATCCAAGATCTCCTTCCAAAATGCTACTATTCTGCTCTGGACCTAACCAGTGGTAGGATTCAGTCAATTTGCACCTATTTGAGAGAACCAGTTGTTAACTTTCTAAGCAGTTCGGAGAACCGGTTGTTGGAAGAAAATCTCCTTTTGTTTTTCCCACGCTTTACAGGGCTAATCCTGTAAGGAATGCAGGAAGGAAACATTCTGGTGTTGTTTCTAGCATAATCTTTATTGCCCTGCTGACAGAAACTGCCTCTCTGGTTAACCATTATTACATTGTAACAGCTAATGCGAAGCGCCCATCGACATGAGTGATGTTGAGTTGGCCATGCCCACACGGTCACATGATCACCGAGCCAGGCCTACCCAGCTGGTCATTAGAGCAGAGAACCGGTTGTTAAATTTGAATCCCACCACTGGGCCTACCTCATATTTTGTCCCTGCCTCTTTTTACTGCCAATCCTTATATTCCTTGGACTTTCAAGAAAGCTATCAAGTTATTTGATGGTGGTGATGCATTGTCCTGTGGGTATGATCATCCACTGCATTTTTTGACTTGTTATGGGTTCATGGGCCTGTGTGTTTAACCCAATTATTGAACCAGACATTTTGTTTCCTGGCTATATGACAATTAAAGAGCTTTTTTCCCCATCTGGCTCCAATTCTTTGGATCCCAACAAAATTATGTTTGGACTCAGATGACTTCAAAGTTTTTTTAAAAGCATGAAAAATGCTTATTTCATAGCTCACTTTTAATAACGAAATAAATAATACATTCTTAGCTGTAGAGGTTTTAACTTCCCAGATTGGGAGTGGTCTCCAAATACAGAAGATAAATGTCCCTGGTTCATGGAGGGTACACCAACTGAGAATCATCCTGTTGTAAACAGATGCTGAAATAAAACACATCCTCTGGTAAGGAGAATTTTGCAAGAGTTTGCCATTTCCTAATACTTAAACAAGCTTCTCGGCAGGATTTGTCCCCTGCGTATAGGATTTCAACCAGTTGTGAAATTCAGATTTTTTACTACCGGTCCTCTGGGCATGACTTGGTGGGCATAGCAGGGGAAGGATACTACAAAATCTCCATTCCCACCCCACTCCAGAGGAAGGATACTGCAAAATCTCCATTCCCATCTGTTAGAAGCTGAGAGGGACAGATGAGGCGTGGAGTGGCTGAGGTAATTAGAACAGCTTTATTGTTAACAGAACAGGAACCAACTTCAACTATATACAGTTCAGCACTTTGCCCTGCTTGACAGATATTTATACTAGAGCTGCCAAGCAAGGCAACCAATAGGATCGCAGAAACAGCTCGCGCTCAGTCAGCTGTGCCTTAGCCAATCAGGTGCAGCTGAGCTGTTGCTGGCTGTCAGTCGTAAGTCAAGGACTTGCGGCCGGTCGCAAGTCAAGGACATAACACCATCCCAGTCTCGGGCCAGCCAGAGGTGGCATTTGCCAGTTCTCTGAACTACTCAAAATTTCTGCTACCAGTTCTCCAGAACCTCCTCGATTTCACCCCTGATTTCAACTCTAGTCATCAGCAAAGTATATCAAGTTTAACTACAGTTTAATACAATTTTCTCTGATGAGGATTTTTTTTTACAACAGGAATCTTAAAATGTCTGTCTTCCAACTCAGAAATAAAATGGAATCTTTTGGCTGACTTCATGAACACAATACTCTCCTGCCCATTACAGCCCTAAATTTCTATATTTCTACAAATATTAAATATGGCCATTTACCTTTAGATTGCTTGGCTCTAGACTGCCTATTTAATTAGCCTGGTACTGGGCTTTCTATCTTCTCCTCAATTTTAGACTATTATAACATACAAGCTCTACAGATTTTTTCCCCCTATGTTCCAACTGTTGCATTTAAAAAAAAAAATTCTTCCCCTAGCTCATTTTCTTAAAATTATAAAGTCAGTGGTAATAAAATAACTGGATAATGGCCACTAGACTCAATAACTTCTTGTTCTGGATGAATCACTTTGGTCTAGTGGTTAAGGCACCAGCCTAGAAAGCGGGAGACCTTGAGTTCAAATCCTGCCTTAGTCATGAAAGCCAGCTGGGTGACCTGGGCCCAGCCAATCTCTCTCAGCCTGACCTACCTCACAGAGATGTTGTGGAGAAAGTAGGAGAGGAAAGTTATGTTGGATACATTTGTTGCCTTGAGTTATATGTAAAAATAATAATAAAGGTGGAATAAAAATAAATAAGAAAAAAATCTATTAGCAAAAAACTGAACAGCTAATGTTTCAAACACTTCAAATCTACACAAGGTTAGGTTTAAGGCACAGTACACATAATACAGTACACAAAATTATAAATCTGTATCATTGTCTCTTTCAATCCCTTTCAAAGTTGAATGGCTATGCATGCATGTTTGGCTGAATGGTGAGCCCACTGGGAAAGTAAAGGCGCAATATATATTCTATTTTGCTAGGCTGTTGAGAGCAAGCTTTGCATGGCAATAGCACCGTTAATTCCCAGGAGGCATCTGGTGGTTACATCATTATCCTCCATGCTAATATGTGGCTGAATTTTACTAATGATTCTGCTTCTTCCAATTCTGCTGCATCAGTGGCTTTGCCTGTACTGCTTTATACGACTCAGAAATATTGCTGGAAATTTAAGGCCAGATGGTCAGAGAGTATGTTTATACTAGGATGTAGATCCAAATCACTAGGAAACAGGATGAAAACGTCTCTCTGTGGAGGGAGAGTTTGGCAGTTAGATGCAGACTTTATAATAGGATTAGGCTAAATGCTTTTAATGTTATTCCCTCATTGCCCAAGTGCATGTATATTTTACCTTTCTTTGTTTCTTAAGAACACAAATGAAGGTTCATGCTTAAAATTTCATTTCGTATACTAAAATTTATGCTAATTTTCATTGCTGAGAACTTGATATGGTACTTTTTTTGCTTTGATATGCAAATACTGAAGATATTTTACAGTGATAAATGCCATGTACTATTGCTTGTAATTTTAATGCAGCTAGGCAACATTTACAGTAAGTGAAACTTCAGGAAAAGGAGGAATGTGAAAGATCATATGTATGTTATTATCAACAGAAGATATCACAGCCCCTCCCAAACCTTTCTCAATTACATATTTAAAGATACATGTCGGTCCTTTAGGTTATCCGAAAGGTGCTTTTTCAAGAGGCAACTGAACTATTTGGTTTTTCTTTGAAGATGTTTTACTTCTCATCCAAGAAGATTCTTCAGCTTTGACTGGATGGGGGAATGGAAGGATTTATACTCCTTGCAGATAACTGGTCATTTGCATTCTTTTAGAGGGTCGCTGAGATCACCTGGAGATTTATCTGTGTCATCAGAGTCACCTAAGTGGTGCAAATTGGTGTGAAGCCTTCTTGGAATTGTTGAAAGGACTGGGTTGCTAAAAGAATGCAAATGTCCTGCTGTCTGCAAGGAGAATAAATCCTTCCATTCCCCTACCATCCAGTCAGAGCTGAAGAAGCTTCTTGAATGAGAAGTGAAATGTCTTCAAAGAAAAACCAGAAAGTCCAGTTGCCTCTTGAAAAAGCACCTTTGGGACAACCATGACCTGGATGACTGAGACTCTCTATAGATGTCCTTTAGGTTAATTATTCAGACCCTAAAAGACCTTCATGTTTTAGCTTAATGAATTTAAAAAACACCTATTGGGGCTCTGAGATCCTGGAAGAACAGCTACTGTACTTCACAGTATTATGGAGAGGTAGTACTTCAGTGCCCCAAAGCAAATTTTGGAGATTCGGTGTGAAGCACTGCACTGTCTGACTATTTATACCTTTATTTATGAATTCTTTCAGTAATATTTCAAGTACTTACTCGTTTTTTTCAACATCGACAATAAAGTTTCTTCCTTCAGCTGTTATCCTGAGTTCTGCTCTTGATGGATGCTGCATAGAATATAAAAATTAAGAGTTACCAATACATATCCATGCACTGAAACTTTGTGGATACATACACTCATTACTTTGCTATCTAGGTAAATAGTTGAGTTTTCAGAGCAAGCCAACTTCAAATTATAGATTCATAACCTCCCTTACTTCTGTTGATGTAGGTTTTTTGATCAGTTGATACTATACTTCAAAACCATTAATCTACACTGTGCTTACAAATGGTATCTTGAACTATAATAAAAAGAGAGGAAAAACAGTGAGAAAATGATTTTGTGGAGCCAACACTGATGAACATTGAATTAAAATTCAACTCCTGCATTTCAGCTCAATTGTACTGAATCCACACCTTCACAACCATTTTAGTTGCAGCAAGGCAATTTCTTACTAAATGTGATGAAAACCTTCCTAATTTCACAAAGATTTTGACAGTGGAAACAATCACCCAGAGAAGTGGAAATTCTTCTTCATCAGATATGTTAAAGTACAAACTTGATATTATCTGTTACGAGTTGCTTTTGGAAAAAGAGGCCAAACCAAATGCCCTCATACAGCAAGGGGCCTCTTGAAACATCACCAAGTATTTTCAACCACTTTAATTATAATATTTCCCTTGACATACCACTCAGTATCTTCAAGAGCCCGTTAAAACACCTTAGTTTCCAGTTGTTGCCATTTGAAAATTTTCCTTTTCTTTAATTTCCACCAACAATTCTACAGATAGTTAAAACTATCCTAATTTAAAATTATATTGCCAGAAAAAAAGGTGGCTATTTCTAATCTTGCCCCAAACTGATTCTTTCTTCCCTGTTGTCTTAGCTAATGCTCAAGTGGTATAATAATATTAAAAATCTCAGTACATGGACACACAACATGACCAGCTATGTAGAAAAAACTTGGCTTAAAAGGAAATTAATGTGGACACATATTGTGACAGTTACTGGAAGCAGGTTCTGAATAAGAAGGTAAACAGTTGTTGCTACATCTGTGGGTAAGTTGGCCAATTAGAATGAACTTTTGTGTGACTGTCAACTATCAGCTGAGGAACCAAATATAGGCATTGCAACAAACATGAACAAAATAAAAACCCATTGCCTCCTTCCCCTGCATAGCCTTGCCAACATTTGTATTAGATATAATGAATTAAAACTGTCAATGAACAGAAAGGAAAATGGCAATTTGGGCTCCTGTAACCCAAATTATATCATTAAATAATTGCTCACATCTTCATAGTTTTGCATAACCATCTGCCCCCTGTAGTCTTAGTAGGACATTCTACTTAGTAAGACATTGCAGCTTCTGTACAGTATTTGTATTCTATATTCTCTTTTCTTCCCAGATATCTGTGATAGGATACTGGAATATAGTCTATCAAGGTCAGGGATGGGGAGCCATGGCCCTTTTATGACTTGTGGCTGGCTCAGGAATTCTGGGAGTTGAAGTCCACAAGTCATAAAAGGGCAATGGTTCCCCATCCCTCATCTAGGTGAATAGATGCATGTTTTCTAACCATCATATATTAGGTCCTGTTTTACTTCTCTTTTCATGTGGGATAGAAACATGAAGCCTTCATCCCACAGCTCATTTTTCACAATCTATAGAGGTTAACCACCACCAGACCATACTGATAAAAGTTGAGAGCAAATCACTTGTTTTCCGTAGTATAAATTTTGTGGTATTCATGAAAATTAAAAACTAAATATAGTATTAATCCACCACAGACCTTAAGTAAAATATACCTATTTTACTTTTAAGCTTTCATCCTCAAAAATCATCAAAAAACCAGACCCTGTCCTCTCAGATGACCTCACATTAGAACCATACTTCCTGTGGTCAAACATAGATTTAGATACAACACACAAATATAAATCTCCTAGCTACGATAGCTGCCTAAATATAATTATATTCATTCCCTAAATGTTAAAATGCTGAGCACACAAGCAATAATAATAATACAGAGGTGGGTTCCTACCAGTTCACACCTATTCGGTAGAACCGGTTCGTCAAATCTACCGAACCAGTTAGAAGAAGTTCCACCAGTGGACCCGGAAAGCAGGCCAAAATTTTTTGAAACCCACCACTGGTCCTTGGATATGATTATTCTACACTATCACACTCATATTTATAAAACTCAGTGCCTCTGTGAAAGGTAAGGATGACTACTGCGTTTGTGGTGCAATCAGAACATTGCGTGTGTTGAAGTTGTTTTAACGCCAACCAAAGATGCCTTTTAAAAAACAAGTTTACATCATATTCTTATGCATGCCAGTGCTGTGTGTGAGGTAATTTAAGGTGGTTCTGACAAGTGTCATCAGCATCTTCATATCCGGTCACATGGGTGGCAAGCCACTCCCATCCAGTCACATGGGCGGCAAGCCACTTCCACAAAGGAGGCCACACCCACAGAGTAGGTTCGATCAATTTTTGAAACTCACCACTGCAATAATATAAAGAAAATATACTGTGCTATAGGTAGAGTCCAACCATAATGTTTATGACTCGGTGCACTACTAAATGATGCTGACTCCATCCATCATCCATCCATCCATCCATCCATCCATCCATCCATCCATCCATCCATCCATCCATCCATCCATTATTTGTTTATTCTTTATTTTTTAGATTTATATCTTTGTCTTTCCTCCAGGAATTTTAGAGGGTAGTCTTCTTTCTATTTCACAACTACAACCATGTAAGGCAGGTTGGGCTAAGTGAGTTGACCCAAAGGCTCCTAGAGGACTTCTTTGATTGAGGGTGGACAACTGTTTAGACTTCCTCAGTCCTAGTCCAACCCCTAAGTCTTAGATCACTAAGCCCTGCTAGCTCTCTGTGATGCCATCCAATATATACAATTTCATTAACTATGAAAGAAAATGAGCTTTCCAGTCACAATCCTTTCCACCTATAAAGCTTTTGGATTTTTTTCAGAGAAGACTTCTTTGGATAAACTAGAATATTGGTTAGTAATTGGATAATATTGGTTGGTAATTGGATAAACTAGAATATTGGTTGATGATTTTAGTTCCTCTCTGTTCTTTTTATTTAACTTCCTTCTTTTTGGGGTTGTTTGGTTCATTTTCATTAATATTGTGCCAATATCAAAAAACTTCCAATCCCTTGGAAGTACCTCTACACTCATAAATGATGCTTAGGTGTTCTACTTTATTTTAAAGAGTATTTATATCTGTGAGGTTGCTATTGCTGTTATTTTCCTAGTTATGATCTTTACATTTTTCAACTGCAGATTGTCTCAATTCATGGTTCTCAAGATGCCAAAGGTCCACAGAAGTTGTTCCTTCTCTTGGGATTGAACTGAAGTGAAGGAAAATAAATCAGTACAAAGGTCACCCTAGAATGAAAGACAGGACATTCACAATGCCTTTGGACTCCTCAAATTAATGCCATGGAAGAAATCTTTGTTCTACCCACCAGGACTTTTTCCTCTTAGAATTTTTCAATCAAATTCATGGACAATGCTAATAATATGATAAAGTAGAAGGAGAAGGTAATAAATGTTGAATCTGCAGATTAGCAGCAGTAGCTCCCACTCTCCATTGGATAAATTCAGCATATTTTTTTTCCCTTTAAGTTAATCAGGCCTGCACAGATGTCCATCTTACACCCAGGATAAAGAGTTGGACAGAGCTCCCAGCTTGACAGTTCTCTATGCAATGCCTTTGTTAGGCAATCTATGTAACGACACTGCACTCAAGAAAAACAAAAACAGAATAACAATACTCTTTCCTGCATGAGGCAAAAGGCTACTACATCCTCCCCATCCTTTACTCTGCAAGGTTTGGTCTCAAATAAAGGATGTTTGAACCAAAGCATACTGCCTCATGCACAGAAAAGGAAATAACATTCTGCTTGTGTTCACTGTAATTCGGCTTAGTGCTACCATACAGTCAGAACAGCAAAGGCCAACAACTGAATGATCTCACATCATCCTGCTCCCTGCACTGGCTTTTGTTTTTCTGTAGGAAATAACTGGGTAGGGACTAAAAGAATAGAGCAAAAGAAAATGAAGAGAGGCTGAATCCAATCAGTACTACTAATTCATACTATTGGAGTCTTGTATACAATACCAGTTTCCAACAGTTATCACCGTGAATAGTCTGGGCCGTCACTTTACCAAAGAGATTAGATGTCAAAAAAGTGACTTTGGGTGCACAAATATGAAAAGAGATTTACAAAGTAAAGCATTAAATACATAATAATTGGGGAAAGCAATATAATCAATTAAACTGCATAAGCATAATGTTTACGTTTTCGGGGTTTCTTTAATGGTCTTAAACTAGTCATAAGAAACAATGTCCGCACTGTTCCCAAGTCTGGAATCTACCAATACAGGCAGTCCTCAACCTACGACACAATTGGGACTAGAATTTCTAAGTTGCTAAGCAAAGCAGTTGTTAAGTGAGTCGTGCCCAATTTTACAACTTTTTTGCCATGGTTAGGTGAATCACTGCAGTTAACTGAACCGCGTGACCATGAAACAAATCTTGCTTTCCTCCACTGTCTTTGCTTGTTAGAAGCCAGCTGGGAAGGTTGCAAGTGGGGATCATGTGACCCTTGGACAATGCAACTGTCATAAAGACATGTCAGTTGCCAAGGGCTCAAATTTTGATCACATGTCTGGGAGGATGCTGTGACAATTTTAAGGGCAAGAACCAATCGTAAATCATAACTCTGGATGGTTGCTAAACAAATCTTTGTAAGTTGACACAATTATCAATAACCCACGACCACAATTGAGCCTAAAGTTTCCATCATTAAGTGAAACATTTGTTGAGTGAGTTTTGGCCCATTTTACGACCTTTCTTGCCACAGTTGCTGAATCACTGCAGTTAAATTAGTTTTTAGGTGAGTCTGGTTTTTCCACTCACTTTGCTTGTCAGGTCACAGAAACTGATCACGTGACCCCCCCCCCCCAAGACACTGCAACCGTCATAAGTATGAGTCAGTTGCCAAGCATCTGAATTTTGAATACGTGACCATGGATGGGGATGCTATAACGGTCGTAAGTATGAAAAACAGTCGTAAGTCACTTTTTTCAGTGCCTTTGTAACTGTGAATGGCTACTAAATGAACTGTAATTCATTCAGGATTGCCTGTTATTTATTTGTGACATTATTATCAATATCTCATTTTACCTTTGTTAAATAGAATTTTATTTATATTATTTACAGTATATACAGTACACACACACGTGTGTGTGTATGTATATATATATGTGTGTGTGTGAGTTGCATTTGTAACACACACACACACACACACACGTGTATGTATGTGTGTGTATATGTGTGTGTATGTGTGTGTGTGTGTGTATAGATATAGATATATATATAATGTATATATACTTGAGAGACCGCCTTCTGCCAATTACCTCCCTACGACCTATAAGATCTCATAGATTAGGCCTCCTCCGC